CGTACTTACTGCAGAGGCTTGCCCTTTAAAAAAAAGTACATTGCTTTATAAAAAACTTTTTTTTGGTATGCAACAATTTACATTGAATCCTGCTAATGTAAAAACTAAAACCAGCCTCTTTTACAAAGTAATGTCATTTAAAATAAAATAAAATTGAATATTAAAAACCTTTAAGTATTTTCAATGTCAACAATATGGGGCAGAAATGATGAATTTTACGATGTAAAACATTAAGATATGTCCACAATGTCCACAGCTGCTCGTTTATAATGGTATTACTTTTTGTTTAATAATTTCTTCCAAAAAAATACATTCTTTTAATGTTCAAATTTATTTATAGTTTATTAAAGGGAGTGACCAGCTATGTAAGGTAGTTGAACTGAGTATGCAGTTTTGTAGAAAACTTCTTTCGGATTCATTTCAGGCATGTTAAACTTTTTAAAGATCTGTAAATCCTAAGTTTCAGAATTAGTTTTTTTAATTATTAAATAATGATCGAACATAAAATGTAAAAAAGTTCTACAATAAACTTCAGATGTCATGTATAGGAACATGTTGAGAAATTAAAAATAAATCTTATCATTGAAAATAAGTAATCTTGTTCAATTATTAGTTTCTACTTTCTCATTATTCTGGTTTCTAATTATTCACAAAGATTTTTTGCAGATTTTCTAGAATTATTATTGCAAAGACGACATTTGAAGAATTTGAAGAAATCTGCAAATAAATTCAAAGAAAATAAGAAGTTCAATATAATAATGAAAAAGAAATAATCAATTTTAGCATTGATTTATTGACAAATTTATTTTGAGAAATATGTTCCTAACCATTTAATTAGATAACTGTATAATTTTTACTTTATTTTTCGTTGTCGTTGTTTAATAATTTAAATAAAACTAATCCTGAAAACGTATCCACCCCAAAGTAGCAGTTTTGAACGTCGAATTTGCGCTCAAACTCAGGATTTACAGATCTTTAAAAAGTTTAACATGCCTGAAATGAATCTGAAAGAAGTTTTCCACAACACTGCATACTCAGTTCAACTACCTTACATAACCGGTCACTCTTTTTAAAAGCAATCTCTAAACAAATATATAATACATCCAATTTTATTCAATATTTTTGATTCTTGACAGATAGTTAACGGTTACTGGATTTTGAATCAAGCATTATAATTATTTTTAAGTTTAAGAATATTTTGACTACAAGACCAAATAAATATTCAAAACTGAATATATCGGTAGAATAATACATCCTTAGTCCTTTTACCCAATTCAAGTACTTAGGTAAGGAGATGTGAAGCAGACGGAGATGACAGCTACCTGGCCAGAAGTGATCATAGATAAGCTAAGATAATATCATTTTAAGGGTCTAATGCAAAGGCTTCACTTTCGATCCCAGTACCAGTTTCAGAAACTACCCAACTCACCCAACTCTATTTCTTCATGTTTAATGTCTATCTCTCAGATATATAACTGAATGGGATTTAACAGTTTATATTTTATTGGTAAAAATACATCTGTTAAAGTTTATTCCTGTCTTATTAGATCCTGTTTAGATATTCATAATTCTCTTGTGTAATTAAGCAGCTCCCTCAACTCCTGTTCATATCTAACAAGGCAGCTCCCTCAACTCCTGTTCATATCTAACAAGGCAGCTCCCTCAACTCGATATCTTGTTCAGCTGTTTCAGTTCAGTATCTTCTATACTGTTCTCCTGGATGACACTGTAGCTGCGTATCTCAAATCCAGCTGCTCCTAAAGTCACTGTTATGTTAACTGTACATTACCGAGCCGCTCCTTGAGTCTCTGATACTCTTGTTGTGGAGATGCTCCTACCATCTAAGATGCTCCTACCATCTGAGATGCTCCTACCATCTGAGATGCTCCTACTATCTGAGGTGTGTCCATGCTATCCACAACTGTTCCTATAGTATGAGATATGTCCACGATTTCCACAGCTGCTCCTAGAGTATCAGATATGTCCACAATGTCCACAGCTGCTCCTAGAGTATGAGATATGTTCACAATATCCACAGCTGCTCCTAGAGTATTAGATATGTCTATGGTATCCTAGTCTACTTGTGCACTCTTGCGGGTAGTCCAGACGGGGCAGTACGAGAGTAGTTGAACTAGCTGGACTGGAGTAGAACCTCATTGTCCTATATCTCCAGTGGCCCTTTCTATAGGACCAGCTCACGGATCTAGATTCTCCTTAGACATCTCTTCATCCATAGGTTACTCTATACCTCCAGTGGTCCTCTCTAAAGGACCAGCTCGAGTATCTAGAGTAGTTAAACCAGTCGTAGAACTGAAGAATGTAGTTCTCCTGATATATGCTGAAAAACCTGAGCTAAAGACTTTAGAATGGTGGATATCAAGATTAATGCTTAAACTCTTGGTTTTACTAAGCCTGAGATTATTTTAAAACGGGGGGGGGGGGGTGAGCTATTGGATGGGGGCTAAGCCCTCCCCCTGGACCAGTGAAGTTTATTGATTTCAAGGGGTTTCCAGGCTCCAACAGGTACTGAAGCCCCCCCATGCAAGGAAAAAAAAATGTAAGCCCCCCGGAAAAACTCCTGAATACACCCCAGATTACTACTTTGAATAAATATTTAGATTTTAAAGTTTTTCTATGCAGATATTATTGTATTTTGTATTTAATAAATAAATATGAATGATTTATTTTGTAATTAATTCCCATTTAGTGATCGTTATAATCATTTTAGTAGAAAAATTAACGTTTTGAAGTAATGAATTCTTTAATTTACAAAAGTGTTGAAAAATGTATTCAGTTTTATTGAATTTATAAGATGCTTGAATCTCCCACCAGGTGTCTCTGGTTGTAAAGATACAATAATAAAATATTAAATAAATTTTTAAATATTTCAATCCAATTGGTTTTGATTTGTTACACAAAATTATTACGTTTACATAAACTTAAAATAGGGTTTGAAGTAATAAACGAAGAAATGTGCAGAAGATTGTAAAAATAAAATTTGTTTGAATTATCTAAGAACTGAGCTTAAAATAAATCGATAAGAAAATTTGGTGAGCAAAAAGACTGAAAAATAGTGTATAATCGTACTTTGCAGCATTATGTGTTTGCATGTCTCATTAATGATTAAACAGAGCCTGCGATTTAACTTCGGCTCAAGCCGTAATTACTTAAACCTGACTTTAAGACCCAATCTTTAACCCAATTCTGAGGACAGCTTGTATCACGTGATTGACAGCTGCAAGATCTTCGGACCAATGAAAATAAAACCGACCTTGGTTGGTTTTATAGAAGTGTTTAAATCTGAGTAACTGCAAAAATCACTTTAAAAAATGATAAAATTTCAAAATCTTTTCAAAACTTTTAAGGGTTCTGTTGTGAATTGGGCATTGTCATCTCTATCAATAGAAGTTAACTTGAAATAAGCTTACAGACTCTTTAATTGTGTGTTTTTGCTTCTAATAAATCTTTAAGTTACGCACCTTCTATATCATTTCCAAAATAGCTCTTATTATTTTCAAAGCACTCGGTGGCCAAGCATACTAATAAAAAATAAATCAATTATGAAGATAAATTTTTTCCTTGAAATTAAAAAATGATTTTTTGAGAGAAGAAAAGTAGATTTTTCAAGACCAGATTTATACAGGAAGGCCAGGAAAGTTAAAAACATTTGTAAAAAATGGTGATAAGTAAAAAACCTTAGATAATTCAAATCTGCCACATGGTAATTTGTACATAGAGATACGGGTTTTTAAAAACGTTGAATATTATCCATACATTTTTCACAAAAATAGAACGTAATAATTGCTTATTAAAAAGCAATGATTCATATAACTAAAGCCCAAAAAAATGGTAATGTTGTCATCAAAACCGACCAAATTCAAGCTTTTTCAAAAATTGAACTTGAGGTTGTGGATTTCTTTTTCATTTCTTCTGTTCCTTCTCTTTACTGTAAAATGATGCGCTCTCTGCTCCTTTTACTTTCCCTGTATGATCATCAAGGTACCTGGGTTAGAATCTGGGAGTTCCGTACTTACTGCAGAGGCTTGCCCTTTAAATAAAAGTAAATTGCTTTAAAAAAAACTTTTTTTGGTATGCAACAATTTACATTGAATCCTGCTAATGTAAAAACTAAAACCAGCCTCTTTTACAAAGTAATGTCATTTAAAATAAAATAAAATTGAATATTAAAAACCTTTAAGTATTTTCAATGTCAACAATATGGGGCAGAAATGATGAATTTTACGATGTAAAACATTAGAGTTAGAGTTAGTTAGAGTTAGTGTGCTAATTCAACTCTTTTACAATAGGTTCCCCTTTAAAAATTTCAATTTTTTCTAGACTATAGCTTTATATTCATATAGATATGTATTTATATTTTTTGTTTATTATTCATTTATAATATCGAGATACCTGCGCTAGCATCAGGGAGAACAGTACTTACTTGTCCTCCTCCTTTCAAAAATAACATTTTAATTACAAAAAGTACAATGTAATTACAAAAAGTAAACCGTAATTACAAAAATTACACTTTTCTTACCTAAAGTTCAATGTAATTACAAAATAAAACTGCAATTACAAAAATAAATTGTAATTACAAAAATACATTGTAGTTACAAAAACAAATTGTAATTACAAAAATACATTGTAATTACAAAAATTGTATACTGTAAATACAAAAGTAAACTGTTGTTAACAATTTTATACTGTAACTACAAAGAGTATATTGTAATTACAAAAAGTACACTGTATTTACAAAAAGGGCAAAGTTATTACAAAAAGAACACTGTTCTTACTAAAGCAATTACAGCAGAAACTTTGTAATTACAAAAAGTACACTTATACTATCAGAAAAAGTATACTGGTATTACGATTGTACACTGATAGTTCGAAGATTTTCTTTGATCTTCAAAATAAATAATTTGCGGCAGTAATTTGTCAAATTCATTTTTACAAGTATAAGTCATAAAACAATGATTACAAAGCAAGATGATCCTGAAATTATCAAAACGTTGTCTCCTTTTGTTGTGCTTTCAAAACAACCAGATTTTATCTTTCAGTTTTATTTTTAAATTGGCATACATAATACTAGATAGGGATAAAGGAAAAGAGTTTTGGTTACAATTTAATCCCGATGTACTTAGGCCTTTGATATTTCATCATATGAATTCTGTTAAATCGAAAATTTCAAGTTTGAAATATCAAAGGTTTACATCATCAGGTTGCAAAGGCAAAGGGATTAGTTAATTCGAGTTTGTGGCAAACATCCAAGTCTTAGCTTTCAACTGTCATGGGATTCCTTTTTTTAGGGAATATTATTAGAGTATTCTTTATTACCTAAGCTGAGCGTATATAGGAAAAGTAAGATAATTAAAATATTTAGTTCCATTGGGTTCAATACTTTTCCACAGACTGGGAAACCAGTCAACTTTCCTCTGTTGATAGTTACCGAAGAGAACCTTGCAAATAATTCCAACCATCAATCAAATATTTTAAACCTTTTTTGTTTTGTATATAATATCTATAATACCCTATAAACTAGAAAAAAACAAGGCTACTAATATTTGTTTGGCGAATATAGTTGGTAAAAATAACTTTATCCAAAATTACTGAACACTTGCCGCAACAGGATGTGAGGCGAAGACCTTGGATCAAACTTTAATGAATTCTGCGAGGTACAGGTACAATAGTTTTTGAAAAATCAAAGCCCTTCAAACAGTTTGAAAGGCGTAGGTAAAATGTTTACAGTTTGTGACCTCTTAGCTCCTCTCGGTATATTTTAACCACAAGAATGTTTAAAGCAAATTTATCTGGTTGCAAATTAAAATTAAAATACTTTTTGTTCTCCTCAAGTGCATTTTTATTAATGGAGTTGAATAAACCCTAATTTTTTATGTGTTCATTTTGGATTTAAACCACTGATTTTAAATTGATCTCTCATATTTCTATTTGAGCCTGCTCTCTATAACTACTCTAACCTCTAATGGAAACTCTTTCAATAAAAATGTTTAGAATCTAAAACTCTCCCAGAAAAATGAATAAAAACTACCTTGGAGAGAATAATGTTCTTATTTTATAAAGCAGCAGAGTAAAATACAGACTGCAATAAAATGGGTTAAGAACCCTTTTATATCCAGGCGAGCTAAGCGGGACTTTCAGTAAGAAAAGGTTCTTAACAAAGTATTAAATAACGTTTAAAATATATATATATAACATAAGGAAAAAATGTTGTTTGTTGCAGAGTTTTGATTGAAAACATTCAATATTTCAACCTTACTTGCAATTTAGTTCAGTTTGACGTGAAAGATGTACACCATCAGGTTGCTGAAATATAGGAATTACTTCAGTTTCTTTAAAAGATAGTTATTCAGTAAAAACCCTAAAAATAGATGTTCTACTAGAAACATAATTATGTTAATGTATGATTAGGTAACTTGAAAACAAAAAAGAAGTGGGTTTCGAACCATTAAACATTAAGCTCTGAGTGAATCAATTAAAAAATAAGCTTTACAGGACCAGAGACAGATTATGTGTTATAAAAAATGCATTTAATATAATTTTTGAGTTTACTATGAATGGCATAATCCTTTATTTATTTCTAAGATAGAGAGTTTGCTTTAAGGCTGGGATGCTAAACAATGTGCTACTCATCATTTAAGTATCTTTAGACATGCCTTAACTGAGGTGATTAACTGGGACTTAGCCCTTCCCGGCCTGCGGACATGGTTCTAACACCCCCCTCCCTCCCTCCCAGTAGGATCAAATTGTTGATTAGCAGATTAATTTTTTCAAAGATAATGTTTCACATGATTATTAGGTAAAAAAAGTAATTAAAAATTGTATTTTGTAATTAGCTAAAAATAAATTTGCTAGAAAATCTTTCATATGAGTTACAGTTACATTAAAATTCATTCTAAAATGACCATGCAGTTTGATAATAAACTAATAAAAAATTACTATGTAAGCTGTTGTCATACATCACATTCTAGTTTGCTCGAAAACATGCAATTTAAGGTAAAGCTAAGAAATAAACATAATGAAAAAAAAACAATTTAAAATGCAATTGAGATCATCAAAATCAAGTTAAAATGACTAGTTGTATAGTAATAAAATGACTAGTTGTATAGTAATAAAATGACTAGTTGTAATGCAAAAATCCTCCCTACAGAAACACTTAAATACAGCTCTGCTTTAGACTTAAAAGTTAAGGAGGGCCGGG